TATGATATGTTCAGAAATGTTTCAATACTAATACATATCTACAAAAGTTAGGCTTCAAATAGGCTTGAATATAAACATGACTATAAACTGCAAAAAACAGAGAGAAGAAATGCAGCATCAAGTGGTGACATGTCCTGATCCCAAGCACGTCGTACACATTCCAATCCATATATATTGCACAAATGCACACACACACACGCACATGCATGTAAATGTGAGGTACAGACAGAGATGCATGCACAGACAAACATACACGCATACAGAAATGAATAAGCTTCACCGGATGCAGCCACCATCAGTCGACGAGAGCGGAGATGGATCGATAGATAGCATTCTCTTCCCACACAATCTCTCCCCAACCTTCGCGGCATCCACTGCACCGAAAACCCTTCCGGATGTGATGTATCGTCCGGTCAGCGATTCCATCAACCGTTTGCGAAATTGTAAGTTACTGTTTTTGCTAATGCTCCTCCAAATTTCCAAATTTGAGTGAGCCATTTCCACTCTGTTCCACGAAATCCCTCTACTTTCTTATGATCCGCAAAATCTTCAAAGGAACCAGCCGCAGAGTCATGAAGAGTGGTGTCGTCTTCACATTAGAAATTCTTATGAACTTGCTAAATTTTTTAGGGAACAACTTTTCACCACCATTCAAAAGCAGACAGATGGACAGGCTTACAAATAGAGAGTATTTGCAGTAATGAAAACATTAGCTCTGAGATTTTTCGGGAATTCTGAAAAGATCGATTTGATCTAATGAAGGATTAAGTTGAAGAGATATATCAGTAAAGTGGGATGCGTTTAGGGAATTAAATAAAACTAAATAATACAATTAGAGTAATTGCATATGTAAATTAAGAAAAAATTAGGTAGAAAGACTTTAATAAGATAGTTGACGGTGATAGTTACCAGAAATTTGTGCACATACAGTTAATACTTTAACTTTAAACAAGTAAAATCATTTATATCAAAATCGATTGAAAAAAGTGTTCAATAGCCTGCACAAAAATTTTGATGAGAGTTTATCGAAATATAATAGATATCAATCTATATGCCGGTGAAGCTAATCACTTCATTGGCGTTGTGACAGATTTTTAGGTCATTTCAATTTTCTTTGAGCTCATCCAAATTTGAAAATGATGAATCGATCAGCCTAGACAACTGTTCTAAGTTGAATTATCAAATAAAGATCCATACATGCTATAATTAGGTTTTCCAATCGAGATATTTGAGTTGTGACTTCCATCACTGTAGATCTGCGGTTTGAAAAAGAGTAATTCAGCTTTATCCATGGATGATTTACATTGTATGAAATAACTGACAAATTTAAATAAAAAATGGAGACTAATAGTTATCAAATAATACCAATAAATTGCAGGATCTGACCAACTAGTCAAAAGAAATTAAAATGTCCCTGAGAAATGAGTCTTACAAAAATAGATTGGAGAAAAAAATGATCAAAAATGGTAACTGCCCGATGAACGGTAACGGTCATTGTTATCATTGATGTTACTATCATTTGATAATGCTGCTATAGGTCACCATTTTTAAAAGAAAACCTTGCGAAATGTTTACTTCTTTCACTTTAAAATCATATAATTATTCAAAGTAATGCAATGATAGAATGATATAATTCTCATTCTGTCAGTAACAATTTCGTCAGTAAAACAACCATTCGTCATTGCAAGATTTTTAATTCTTTTCTCCCTACTATTTTTCAAGTTTGTGTAGTTGAAAACGATCATAGTAAAAATGCAAGGGAAAAGATAAAAGAAAAAAGCAAAAGTTGGAACATGAAATGGATGATTAGTTAGTTGCGAAATCCCACTCGGCAGACAGTAAATTAAATCGGTGGACAGTCAACTGATATCACATATGTTACAACAGCTACATTTGGGGTTTAATTAAAATTTCCAGAAAAAGTATATATATATATATAATAAACCGAAAAATTCTTTATTGTCAAAAAATTCATACATCTGTTTTTTTATTTGAATAATTATTCAATTCATCTTTACTTCATAAAATGTTTCACTTTGTTTCAAATTAATAATCAAAATCAACCGAAGTGTATAATCAATTTTGGAATGATTATTAAAAATTGATTGGGGATGGTGACATTACACCAAACGTTAAAACATTCATTTCGTAAATCATCCATCATTCATCCTTTTATCATCATTATCATCATCGAGCGCTTATATTATAATCTCTTTCCTTCATTTTTCCATATCTTATATCTAAAAGATTTCCCGATAAATCAATGGATTGGTGGAAATCGTGAGAAATGATCGATAAAGAAATAATTCAATCACTGAGAAATTTTTCTGATCGAATCGAAACTATTCTTTTTTTCTCTGTCGATTAATTTGCTTGAAAATCAGAAATCAAAATTTGAAAATATGAAAGAGAAGAAAGATTGGTGAATTGGAACTGTTCATTCCCGTTCAGATTTCAACATTTTACTTTCTATGATCATCGTCATCATTGGTACTTAACTTTTCAATCTTCTCCCGTTCTCTTCCTCGTCTTATCCCACCCAACCAATCATTGTTGATTGATCATTTTTCATCACCAAAACAATAGTGACTCACGTATAATCATTACCGTATGGAATGGGAAAATTTCGAACTGATTATTTCATTGATTTTTTCACAACTGGTGAAGTAAAACAGAGAGCGAAGAGGAAAATACATTTTCTTTCATTTTTATTTGATTATTTCATTTCAAATCACACATATATGTATATACGATTTGAAATGAAATAATCAAGTAAAAATATATATATTAAACTATCTGCAATTGTTTATGCAGTAAGAATAAAAGGGAGATTAAGCGGAAAGGTTAACTATTAAGTGGTTTAATGAAAGGAAGAAGAGGGAGAGAGGTCAAGTGTCAAAAAGCCTTGCTTTTTGTAATTGCTATGACGCTTGACTTGCTGAACCAAAGAGCAAAGGTCAGTACTGAGAGCATATGATTGATTGCGATCAAGCAACACGAACACACCACCACGGACAGTTTCGCTCATCAGCGATCCGTGCCATGCGGAAGAGTGAAGAGATGACAAAACCAAATGTCAGCAATCGTTCAATAAGCAACGGATTGGAATAGTTTGACAAATGACAATCCAATAAGCTTCCACTTTCAGTATCCGTCCACGAATTTTCCCCATGTTAAAACATTCCGATCTTTCCGGATAGGTCCCATCAGGATCAAATGGGTGATCAGATCGAACGGGATGTATGACATGGTCATCAAGATGAAGTCTTTTTAGACAGTGCAAAATTCATACTTTTCCTAACAAAATCTCAAATCAGTATTTTTTTCTTCTTTTTCATTTTCCATTTCATTTTGCATAACGGAAGGATGAAACAATTGGATGAAATCTTTTAGAATTTTATGTTAGCATATCAGCATCATATATTAGCATCGTATTTCAATGGTGAAGGATAGGAAATTTTATGTTCAGAAATTTGAAGCAAATTAAAATAATATTACGACCTGATGGATAGTGTGAACTCTGAGAACAATGAATGGTCATTAAATATTAAGTATATAAACACTGCTCAATTTTTCGCCATGATTTGATGACGCATCACGTTGAAGCATTTCAGATAAAAGATTTGCATAATTCTGAGGATAAAGGGAATCACTTCAGAAGAAATTAATGAATAATTATTGTACTGTTTCTGAAATATGAATTTTATGAAATAAAAATTTAGTTTTCTTCTCAAATGAAATCAGTGATAGTATTTACTTCGTTGGCAGAATGAATAATTGAACAAAAGTGTTAAAATACGAATACCAAGCGTTTCATTGTATTAGTAATGAAAATGAATAAATTAAAAAAAGCATAAAAATTTTGGAAAAAATGTAAAAATTATCGCATTTTAATTTCTCTCTTAAAAAGAATGGAAGGAAAGGAACAAAAGAATTTCAAAATATTGCGTTTCAATAAAAAAATCAGCAAAATCTGAAAAATATTTTACTATTTTCTCTTTAATTTAATCAGTCTTATCATTATTTTTGCTTTCATTTATTGATTGCTTTCATTCATTCAAAATGTAACCCAACTTTAACAATTAACTTCTGACCACTGAATGGTATGCTAACTGTGAAAATCTGGATGAGACAGTAAATTATTATTCATATTGCTTGGATACAAGGAATTAAATTAACGATGCAACGATACTTTAAATTGTGTGAAAACCGGAAAATGAAATATTTACTTGTCGATTTGGCCAACTGACACGTCCGGAGTGCTCATATCAATACGTAATGATATAATATTTCCTGATATGTTGGATTCTTTACTTTTGCATGTATGACGTGTTGTCGTTCCAAAATTTATGCCGTTCGTAAAACTCGATCAAATTACAAATTCTTCAATCCCCAAAATACAGTCTTACAATTGAAGAAACAGAGAGAAAGATATGAATACAGTTTAACATGTGATAATGTATAATATTCCTAATTATATTAGCTATTTATCACATTAGTATTATTTGAAAGAAAAAAATATAACTCAGTACCCGGGAAAAGGATTGTTGGAGTGAATTTTTCGGAAATTAAAAATCAAAGAATGTAACTGTAAAATCTAACATAATAACTTGCCAAGAATATAACTAAATAAAATCAAGAAATAGGTATATCCGGAAATGAGTTAATGAATAATCAGTTGGTGAAAATTAAAACTCAAAGTATATCATAAATTTTCAAATAGTGATTAAGCCAAGAAAACATTCGGAGAGAAATGATAAAGAAGGAAATGAGACAAATACGTTATCAAATTTTCGGTGAATAATGTATGATTGTTGATTATTTTCAATGCTTATATGATAGACGAAAATAAAATGAAATGATTACATAAACTTTTCTGGAAATGGATATTTTCTACAAATAAATAAAAAACTGTCTTTCGTTTCTTTTTTAAACTATAAAGTTTTGTACTTTTGTTAATAATTCAATTAAAATTAAAAGAAGAGAATGATTGCAATTGATCACCTTCCATGATTATTAATATTACTGAAAAAGTTGCCAAGACCGCTAAGAATATTTGACCGACCGTTGTTACGCTTATATTCCGCTGCTTCCGCTTGAAATCGGCTTTCTTGAAGCTTTTCAAATGCGCTACATCTTTTATCTTTGAATATATTTGGTAACTGAAATGAAGAAATATTAAGTTTTATTTATTTTATTAGACAATTTCAAATTTTTTAACCACCATGGAATATTTACACTTTTTAATGCAAAATATTTTGAATCAAAAAAAGAAAAAAAGGAGAAATAACAATCATTTATTTCATTTTTCCTTCTTGAGATTTAAATATTTGTTAAAAAATTAGCCAATATATTATGTCAGACAGAAAGAGAGAAGAGATTGTTGGATTTTTAATTGATTATGTAATCGAATATGAGGATAGCATGAATTTAGCAAAGATATACTGAATTAGCTGTGGTAGCAGCTTCAAACAGCAGATTTGTCTTCACTTTAGCCCCTTCGATTTCGTAATCTACAACGGCATGTTGACAGGCAAGCAAGCGATCCGGCACTCGTTTTGATACCCAATATTCCAAAAGTTCTGAGTTAGTCGGAGTATATGAGCCTTGCTGAAAAATGAATTACTTTAATCCATCCAACAATCACGTTCTATTCAGGGATATTCCTTCTTCGCTTTTACTATTTCACGTTCTGTGCTTAGCAACTTGTTTGGTGCTTCTGTGGCCTTTGTTTGACCTCTTTTGTGTGAATTTTTTGGTGGCTGGACAAGTCATTATCCTACATACATATATTTGATGGATGACTATGCATAATGATTGAGTACATGTATAATCAGTACATAAACATATAAACATGATAAGAGCTTCTAAAACTTAGTGTTAATCACCGTTCCATTCTTCACCTATCATTATCATCTTCTGATTGAAAGCGCATCGCATACATTTTAGATTTCATTTCTCCCACCAAAGTATTATTAATCAAAATTTCACAATCACAAAGAACAAACGGAAATTACATTGACGAAAATGTTAGTGTGATAAATTTAATAATATAAAAATGTTTGAGAAAGTGAAAGGAAAAATGCGTTTACATCAATGCTGTTAGCAGCAAGCCATTCAGCTATCATTGCTAATTTAAATGCTTTGCCAAGCAAAGGATTATCCAACTGAGCAAAGAACTCTTTTTCCATCTAAAAATTATCACCAGTTTAATAAAATGCATTTGATAGCAGTTTAAGATGAACAACTTTTCTTTTTTTCTTTTTTATTTTTTTTGGTGGCAAATGTTTAAATTTATGAAGTTTTAAAGTTCTAATGCAAAAAATATATTAATATGCTATCGAATAAAGATTCATATGATATGGGAAAAAAGTAGTAAATTTAGTACTATAAATATGCATATTGCATAAAAACCACTGATAACTTATCTCAGCCCTTGTTTCGCCTCTTTCGTAAAATTTCATCCAAATATCAACAGCACCTTGCTTTTGCCAATAATCTTTTTGCCATACTGATTTCGAGAATGCGGAGCAAAGGGTAAATAACGGATCTTCCGGTGGTGGACATAGTTTGACGGTTAATCGATAAGTACGCTCTTCAGTTGAGCGACACAAATTACCATCAGTATTTTCCAACAATTTTAATTTTCTAAAATTACATTGGACAACTAAAACAAAATTAGAAATTTAAAAATACTGAAGAATTTACAATTAATTAATCTAAAGTACAACGAGTATAAAGTACAACAAGCTCCGTCACTTCGTAAAGTTACCCTACCAAGTTTTTTTTTACCACAAGATATGTTGACTTCAAATTGAATTTGTCTGCTAGAATAACGATAACCTTGTATTCTTGCACCAATCGCAGTAATAGCATTCACGGCCGCACGTTGCCACGTCCATACAACGTAGCTTCCCAATTGGCTGGATCATCACGTCGAGTTTCATAGCAAGACGGTTAATATGAACTTCTAGAAATTAAAAACTGAAAATTTTTGAATCTGTTAAACTTAGTTCTGGGTCAAATTTTCTCAGAACAACAAGAACTATTTTCAAAAAAGTTGTGTAAAAAGTTTATGATGACATCAAATATTCAAAAAAAGCAACAAAAACTCGAACATTTCAAGTAATTTTAAATTTATTGTTCGCATACTAATAAGAAGCTAATTAATATGTGAATGAGGAAAAAACTATGCCAACTTATAACTTCAAAAAATTTATTCATGAACTTTAGTATATACTTGGTGGCAATGTTACATCGATAGACATGTCCACGCAATCAGGCCACGTCAATTTTAACGTATCGCCATCACGTTCCGATGGATGACTAAATGATGGATTTGCCAATTTAATTGGATCTGTGCAATTTTTTCCGGAGATTTCTCGACAACATGATGATGTCCGAGCATCTTTCAGTTTTGCAATAAATAAATTCTTGCTAATTACTGCCTAAAATAATTTTATTCACTTATTTGCTTATATTTATTATTTATTTTTATATATTCAAAAATTCATTTCAATTTAATAGTAATTTAAATTTGAAATGTTCAGAAGTTTCATGCAACTTTTACCAGACATTTATTTCATATTTGCTACAAAGAAACAACGAAATCTACTAATAAGTAAATCATTAAATTTAATTCCATTTTAATTCACTAGAAATATCCAAACTTCTTCATTCTCTATTTGGTATTTCTGACAAGAAAATAATACATGAATGGATGAATTCAATTCCGCCTATGTTTAAGTCAATGTAAAAGGTGAATGCACACCTGGTAAGAATGGTTGTTAATTTTGTGCACACTCCCTGTGGCAATGGGCACATCCTTATCATTGTAAATGATAGTATTACCCGACTTGTCAGCTACAACTTTACCCACACTGCGTCCTTGTGCATCATAACATTGTGAGATACCCGGTGTTTCGGCTGCAGAATGAAAGCAATTGAGTTTTTTTAATTCTTCAAACTTAGATTTTTATTAAATATGACATCATTAAGATAGCATCATAATTACATCAGTATAGGATATCTCTTTCAGGAAAAATATTTGCAATTAAATTCTGTTTTTTAACAGAATCTAATGCACATTTTAACATTTGGTAACTGAAAAACAGCATTAATGCTCGTCACTTCAATATTTTCGTCAGTTATTGGAAAATAATTCACTGACTTTTTTTCTAGCTAATCTTTTGCTTTGAAAATACAATATTTTTTACCAATTAATTAATCTGTAACTGTATATCATGGTAAATTCAAGTAAAGGAAAAAACAATTTATTTTATGGGGAAGTTTACAATTTTAACTCTGTTTGTCTGCAAATGTTTATTTTTGCAGATATATCACTTTGCATATTTATTCTAAAGGATAAACAGAAGCAATGAATATCGATATATTCGTCTTTGCAGGATTGAGTAAAGAAATGAATATTAACGTACTTTTATAAAGCTAAATGTATATCTGTTAGAATTTAAAGTGTATCTATGAAATTTTTAAAGGCAGTGCATATATAATTTGTAATTAATAAACTTCTAATTTGATTGTTCTAAATTTCAAAATTTTTGGACATGAAGATTCATGTCTCTTAAATATTGCACAATAAACATTTTACCTTTAATATTTCTTAACAAACTTAAACTGACTTTCATCAAAATCGCCGTACGTCACCATTATTTTATCACGTCTATCAAGAAGAAATGCTGGCTTATTCAATGAAATAGTTTCAAAAATCAAAAATTCAAAGGTGAAAAGTATCCTTACCAGTACAATGATATTTTTCAGATCGTCTGCCAAATAATGACTGCGAAAATTCATCCTCATCGTTAACGGTATCGGCTGACAGATAAGCATCAACTTTGTGGGTGTCCTTTTTTATTGTATACGCATATTTACCATTCTTTCGTTTTTCCTGCAATGACATTTCTGTCATGTTTTTCTTCTTTTTATAAGTGTAATCGTAATGATAATCGACGAAGTCCGCTTTATTCTAACAGTTATTAATTTTTAAGATTACATTTTGATATACTAAGTGAAAACTTATAAGAAATAATATATAATACAAGTAAATATGTCAAAATTCAATTTGAAAAATAGATGGTAAATGAGAACTATGAAGGATACATTTTTCAAAATAATAAGTAAAAATTTTTTAAAAATTGATGAACTGTTTAAAGCATATGTATTTTTAAAATTGCAGAAAAAACTTCTTTAAAAAAATTGTTCGAAAAAACATATTAGTTGCTGTACCGATGGGTTTTTGTTTATGATAAAATGGAATTTTTGAATGAGATGAAATAATACCTTGTCGGTATATGAAAGTGTACCGCTACCTTCATTTTGATTTTGACTTTGTGGATTGAGAGCGAAATCAAAACGTTCATTGGTAGCTACAAAATCTGTATCTTTTGGATCCTTCAAGGAACCACGGGCAGCTGTATCCAACGTGTACTTTCCGTCAGCCTTCAAGAATGCATGACGTCCTTCTCCATCCTCCTTAGTTTTTATTTGACCTCTACAAAAAGGTATAAAATAAGAAAGGAATGAGAAATTTTATTTTGTTCTTTCAGTAATTGCAGTGATTGCTCAGCTAATTTCTCAAGATAAAGTTCAAAAGAAGTGATGTTGTTGACAGTTAGAATGATACATCATTTTTCATCAAACGAATATTCATGTCATACACATGTCATGAGTTTTTCGCTTAATTCGAGCTAAATTATTCTGAATTTCAAAATTACTAATTAAATTGAATGAATGAAGAGAAAGGGATGAAAAAGAAAAAAAGTTGAAAAAAGAAGAAACTGACTTATGTCCTTCAACCTGTGCGATACCGCCTTTATCACCAAATCGTTGTACCTGTGCTCGTTGACCATTACTTTCTGCTACTGCCATGTTACCTTGTGCTGATGCACTTAACTGTTTCTCGGAATTAATCAAATTAAGGACTGCCTTTTCCGGATTACTCGCATCTAATGATATCTAAAGAAGGAGAATGAGAAAACCGTGTAAAACGCTGTAAAGTTTTTCATGCCTTAACTTCTTTTATCAATATTTCTGGCAAGAATGATCACTTCTTCCTGTATTGGTGCTATATTAATAATATACAAACTTTCCAACAGATGATCAGTCAATATATATTTTTTCATTATTCGTTATTATAGATTGAAATTCATCAGATATTATACATGTGAAACTTTTTCTGGAAAGAGGAAATGATATTAAGAATACTACGAATACCTTTTGTACACCATGCTTATCCGGTTCAAGCCATGACGTATCGGCATCAATATGTTTCCGTTTCGGATTAATAGCAACGTGGTTTGGTGCTAACGTTGTTGCTTCTATTGTTGGAATATGTACAAGTAACAACGGAATTACTAGTAAAAGTAACATTCTTCGGGAAAATGATGAAAAAGTTGTCGTTTTTCTGTTATTTCTTTCTTGGCAACATGAAAGAAAGAAAAAAATTTGAAAAATTTATCGTTGACAAATCTGTTCCCTCGTTTACCTATACTTTTTGATGGCACCCACTTGTTGTTCAGCTAACAGTATAAGTGAGTGATAGTGATAGTTGTATAACGAATAGTAATTAACAGAAACAGAAATTGCCGGTGGTGTGTGGTATTTCAGTAGCAAATGGAAGCAGGTAGATTGGTGGTGCTACTGCGGGATGACAGGTGATATGGTTGGTCAGTCGGTTAGATGGATGGTGGAAGATAAATATACGGTTGTCGTCGTTAAAGCATTCTTGGAAAATCGATTCGACATCACGACGGATCGTGAAGGGGTCTTGAATTATGATGTAGACCGGTTCTAATTCTGTTTAATATAGCCCGCGGGTTTCTTCATCTCATTCCTTTTTCGTTTCCATTGCAATGTCATCTCGCCGAGGGAACAAAATTCATACCATAATTTAATCGAAATATTTCAATAACCGGTACGTACTTTAACCAACCTCGTTTTTTCGGCTTCTCTCATTTATTGCTATCAATTAAATGGTTGCTTGAATGTCATTGAAGTGATTGTGCATGTGCAACCACTTGCCATTACCGTGTTAACGAAGACCATAAGGATGACTGAGTGCAGCACTCAGAGAAGCTAACAATTTCTGGTCACGTGCCAAAGCACACTTAATGCATCACGATATCAGTAACATTGCTATTACTTCTAATCTATTTCATCAATAGATTTTCCTTTTAATAATAAATTTCATATTATCGATGTTGCACTGAACAAGAAAATGTCGACAGCAATTAATTAATTATATCAAAAAAGTGATATCAAATAAGATGGCTGCATAAGAATAGAACTGATTGCAACAGTGATTGAAATATTTAAATATTGGGTAATAGTATTACTACGCCCAATTGATTAAAAGATAAAATTACTGATCACCGATTTTTAAATCTCAGAAACTATGAAATATCAATCTATCACAATTTGTACTTAAAAATCTCTTTAGAAAATCTCTCTAGATTTGTTATCACATTAAAAATCATAATTAATTTCTTATCATTTATACAATGAAATTTATTGCACTGAAATGACAGATTCATTAGTAATAACATTTGAATTACATGAGAAATTTGATTTAGTAATTGGTCGAGCACTTATTTAGTTGAAATAATATATCATTTTGACGTTTTACTGCAAGCGTTTTCATTGTTAAGTTAGCACACACTGCTGAGAATACAAATAATAAACGAAAGACGGCAAACGATTCAAATAATTCAATACATACTGAAAGAATTGATAGAATGAAAGCGGAACAAATGAAGGAGAAATTAAGAACAATAGCAGCAAATTCAAAGAAAAAAAAAGAAAATACTTTGATAAAATTATTCAACAGGAAATGAAAAAGATCCTTGAAGTGAAAATATAAAAAACTTTCGATGCTAATTATAGCAATTATAAAGAGTGACTGCGTGTGTAGAATTACGTGGTATCGTAATTGATACACTTATCAAACTACAGTAATTGATGCAAATG